ATCTCCTTACTCAGCAGAAGCCTGTTGTATCATTATTACAGACAGACAATTTTATTTATATGTATAATTTCAATATATCCCCTTACTCAGCAGAAGCCTGTTGTTTCATTATTACAGACAGACAATTTTATTTATACAATGTATAGTTTGAAAATATCCTCTTACTCAGCAGAAGCCTGTTGTTTCATTATTACAGACAGACAATTTTATTTATACAATGTATAGTATGAAAATATCCCCTTACTCAGCAGAAGCCTGTTGTATCATTATTACAGACGGACAATTTTATTTATATGTATAATTTCAATATATCCCCTTACTCAGCAGAAGCCTGTTGTTTCATTATTACAGACAGACAATTTTATTTATACAATGTATAGTATGAAAATATCCCCTTACTCAGCAGAAGCCTGTTGTTTCATTACTACAGACAGACAATTTTATTTATATGTATAGTTTCCAAATATCTCCTTACTAAGCAGAAGCCTGTTGTTTCATTATTACAGACAGACAATTTTATTTATATGTATAGTTTCAAAATATCCCCTTACTCAGCAGAAGCCTGTTGTTTCATTATTACAGACAGACAATTTTATTTATACGTATAGTTTCAAAATATCTCCTTACTCAGCAGAAGCCTGTTGTTTCATTATTACAGACAGACAATTTTATTTATACGTATAGTTTCAAAATATCTCCTTACTCAGCAGAAGCCTGTTGTTTCATTATTACAGACAGACAATTTTATTTATATGTATAGTTTCAAAATATCTCCTTACTCAGCAGAAGCCTGTTGTTTCATTATTACAGACAGACAATTTTATTTATATGTATAGTTTCAAAATATCTCCTTACTCAGCAGAAGCCTGTTGTTTCATTATTACAGACAGACAATTTTATTTATACAATGTATAGTACGAAAATATCCCCTTACTCAGCAGAAGCCTGTTGTTTCATTACTACAGACAGACAATTTTATTTATATGTATAGTTTCCAAATGTCTCCTTAGTCAGCAGAAGCCTGTTGTATCATTATTACAGACAGACAATTTTATTTATAAGTATAGTTTCAAAATATCCCCTTACTAAGCAGAAGCCTGTTGTTTCATTATTACAGACAGACAATTTTATTTATATGTATAGTTTCAAAATATCTCCTTACTCAGCAGAAGCCTGTTGTTTCATTTTACAGACAGACAATTTTATTTATATGTATAGTTTCAAAATATCTCCTTACTCAGCAGAAGCCTGTTGTTTCATTATTACAGACAGACAATTTTATTTATATGTATAGTTTCAAAATATCTCCTTACTCAGCAGAAGCCTGTTGTTTCATTATTACAGACAGACAATTTTATTTGTATGTAGTTTCAAAATATCCCCTTACTCAGCAGAAGCCTGTTGTTTCATTATTACAGACAGACAATTTTATTTATATGTATAGTTTCAAAATATCTCCTTACTCAGCAGAAGCCTGTTGTTTCATTTTACAATCAGACAATTTTATTTATATGTATAGTTTCAAAATATCTCCTTACTCAGCAGAAGCCTGTTGTTTCATTATTACAGACAGACAATTTTATTTATATGTATAGTTTCAAAATATCTCATTACTCAGCAGAAGCCTGTTGTTTCATTATTACAGACAGACAATTTTATTTATATGTATAGTTTCAAAATATCCCCTTACTCAGCAGAAGCCTGTTGTTTCATTATTACAGACAGACAATTTTATTTATACAATGTATAGTTTGAAAATATCCCCTTACTCAGCAGAAGCCTGTTGTTTCATTATAGCAGACAGACAATTTTATTTATATGTATAGTTTCAAAATATCTCCTTACTCAGCAGAAGCCTGTTGTTTCATTATTACAGACAGACAATTTTATTTATATGTATAGTTTCAAAATATCTCCTTACTCAGCAGAAGCCTGTTGTTTCATTATTACAGACAGACAATTTTATTTATATGTATAGTTTCAAAATATCTCATTACTCAGCAGAAGCCTGTTGTTTCATTATTACAGACAGACAATTTTATTTATATGTATAGTTTCAAAATATCCCCTTACTCAGCAGAAGCCTGTTGTTTCATTATTACAGACAGACAATTTTATTTATACAATGTATAGTATGAAAATATCCCCTTACTCAGCAGAAGCCTGTTGTTTCATTACTACAGACAGACAATTTTATTTATATGTATAGTTTCAAAATATCTCCTTACTCAGCAGAAGCCTGTTGTTTCATTATTACAGACAGACAATTTTATTTATATGTATAGTTTCAAAATATCCCCTTACTCAGCAGAAGCCTGTTGTTTCATTATTACAGACAGACAATTTTATTTATATGTATAGTTTCAAAATATCCCCTTACTCAGCAGAAGCCTGTTGTTTCATTATTACAGACAGACAATTTTATTTATACGTATAGTTTCAAAATATCTCCTTACTCAGCAGAAGCCTGTTGTTTCATTATTACAGACAGACAATTTTATTTATACGTATAGTTTCAAAATATCTCCTTACTCAGCAGAAGCCTGTTGTTTCATTATTACAGACAGACAATTTTATTTATATGTATAGTTTCAAAATATCTCCTTACTCAGCAGAAGCCTGTTGTTTCATTATTACAGACAGACAATTTTATTTATATGTATAGTTTCAAAATATCTCCTTACTCAGCAGAAGCCTGTTGTTTCATTATTACAGACAGACAATTTTATTTATATGTATAGTTTCAAAATATCTCCTTACTCAGCAGAAGCCTGTTGTTTCATTATTACAGACAGACAATTTTATTTTTATGTATAGTTTCAAAATATCTCCTTACTCAGCAGAAGCCTGTTGTTTCATTATTACAGACAGACAATTTTATTTATATGTACAGTTTTAAAATATTTCCTTACTCAGCAGAAGCCTGTAGTTTCATTATTACAGACAGACAATTTTATTTATATGTACAGTTTTAAAATATCTCCTTACTCAGCAGAAGCCTGTAGTTTCATTATTACAGACAGACAATTTTATTTATATTAATAGTTTCAAAATATCTCCTTACTCAACAGAAGCCTGTTGTTTCATTATTACAGACAGACAGTTTTATTTATATGTATAGTTTCAAAATATCCCCTTACTCAACAGAAGCCGGTTGTTTCATTATTACAGACAGACAATTTTATTTTTATGTATAGATATAAAATGGTTATATCTCTAGCTTTATATTAACACAAACACGACACAAAGATTAAAACTACTTTCAGTTAAAGGCTGAAGATACTGCCGGTTAACTATGACATCAGGACATAAAACACCCCAGGCACTCATTAACATGCAGCCAAACACTCAAAGAATTGGTAATTAAAAACAAGTTATAAAATTCATAAAAAGTTGTTTCATTTAATCCCCTTCAGCTAATTAAATCAGTCTGATAGTAGGCCCAAGAGTCAGGATAAATAGTTAAGGAAAATATCGTGAAGAAACATTTCTAATAATTTGTTAGATTTCAAAATTTTCTCAATGGTGCTGTAAGGTAGTAGGTTCAATTGCATGACTTACATGACTTTACTTTCATAAAATTGAAGTGACAAACGAATAAGTTTGTTCGTAATTGGCTACTGCAGCTTATGGATACCCGCAACCAACTTCAAACCAAGAAGGCTACTTATATGACATATCTGAGGAATAAGATGGAATGCTTTACAGCCAGTATTTATTCTGATTTTCTAGACACTTCAAACCAGAATTCAACAGTGTGAGGAGTGTTACAGTGGCGATATGAATAGGTAATATTATGGTGGTATCTACCCAGACAAACTTGTAGGCAAAAAAAGAAGACCTACTCTTACTGCTGCTCTGTTTCGTATGGTGAATGTTGAGAAACGGAGACCCTTTTTACTGGAAACGAGGTATTCCATCTTAATTCTCAGGGGTAACAACGCATCTGAATTTTGATTCTTAATTGAGAATAGATGTAGATGTTTATAGGCCCAAGCATCCACATACTCAAACCCACTGTGTGCTCATTTGTCACCGATATTCCATAAAGAAAACCACGAGTAAAAAATAAAACAAAATTGGTATTTATCAACGCTAATTTTGTTTTATTTATTCATAAGAACGACGTATTATTAGTAGCTTAACAAAAAAGTTTGATAAGCATGTTTTTGCATCCATGTGTACGCAACGAGTTGTAAGGCACTAACCTTTATTGGTTTAATCTATTTTAATCTACATATATACATATAAAATATGCTGAAAAGTCGCTATAAAAATAAGCAAATATATTGCCACAAGTTTTTATATTTCTGAATACGAAAACAAATAAAACGTGTGTATTTCAAAAACATTTTATCTTCAAAAAGGCGTCAGAATTCACTTACGACTTTACGCAAAAACATTCCCTAAGGTTGTAGCAAAGTAGCACATATTATACGCCAATTCAATAATAATAATAATAATCATAATAAATGGCGTAGGGAATTGACGACCCCATCGCCCGTTGACGTAACAGTTAAGTGACAAAACTGCTACGTCAACGCAGTCAGTCAGCGCCTTGCGAGAGGTGTGAGCGCCGTGCCTCGGCAGAATTCAGAGTGCAAAGGCCCGTTTGTGCTTATGGCCGTCCACGATACGGTGCCGGGCCTGGGCGTCTCCCGTTAATGGACGCCCAAATTATGGATGATGGAAAAAAAGATAGTGCGCAAAGGGCCGCTGCCTGGAGATCGCCAGGGCGCGTCTGGAGCTGGCGCTGGACGCAACAGCACGCGGGCCGCCAGCCGAGCGCGGGGTGTTGCAAGACCACCTAGCAGCCCCCGCATCCATCATCCCCACCAGAAGGCTTGGTGTCGGCTGGGTCTTCTCGGACTAAGCAAGCGGCACCCGCCGCTGGTGGAGCACGTCGCATACGTTGGTCAAAATTAATAAACGCAAACGCACTGCGGGCGTATTTTAGGGCAAAAGGGGAAGAAACTGGATGTTTGGCGTATCGGGCTCGGATGCGTCGCTTTTTTGCAGAGCTGGAGCCATCTCTATCCGTCACTGAGCAAAACCTGGCAGACCAAGTTCGGTACATCCTGCGCTCCAACATATTTGGTGACGCCGAACTCAAACGACTACGACGTGAGGCTATTCCTTCATCAAATGGAAATGCTACGGCTGGGAATGCGGTACCACTAGATGCGCAACAAACTGCATATGTGGATGATGCCGTCAATATTCCATTTGTGGCTAATTCAGACGATGATGGAATAGTCTCCCACGAACTAAAGAAAATGAGGAGCATATTGGAAGAGTCGATGCTGGAAAAGCGAAGCATGCCTCTCGAAAATCGACCGCGACTTCCCCGTATACCCCTTAGCAAGCGAAATCGGGCCGTCGTGCGCGCTCTTAACCCAATGCTGGTGACCTATTTGGAAGCCACCCGGGACCTTTGCGAGACGGACTCAATTCTTTTTGGCGCCGCACTGGCAGTATGCCGTATTATTGGCGCCAAACTTCCCGTGGCAGGACATGCTACTCAAAAAAGTAGCGCCATCCTTGCCTGGAGAAAAATAATTGAGGACCGTATCGCAAAGGCAAGGGCCCTTATCGGCAGACTGACAAGCTTCAAGTCTGGTAATAATATGCCGAGAGTTGTGCGCACCTTTATAATGGCTTTAGCTGGGACAAATATCAGTTTGTCCCAGCCGGATATCACGCAGAAACTAACGGAACGCATAGATGACCTGAATCAAAAAAATCGCTGCTTGGGGGAAGCGTATTCGACGATTTAGCGAGAGGTCAAGGCGGTTCAACAAGAATCGTCTCTTCCAGAGTGGTCAGAAGAGGCTCTATAAATCATTGGAGCGACCAGAGGTATGTGGAGCGGGCCCAGGAACGGATCAGGCTGACACTGTCGTATTTTGGCGTGGCCTGTGGTCAGAGCCCGTAAATTACAGCGAGGGCCCTTGGATGGGAGTTGTGGCGAGCCAGAGTGCAAGTGTTACGCCTATGGACTCCGTCACCATAACGCCTGAAAACGTGGCTGAGGCGGTCCGTAGGGCCCCAAACTGTAAAAGTCCGAGGCTCGACGGGCTGCACCATTATTGGCTGAAGGGGTTCGTAGTGTGTCACGCTGTGCTCGCCCGACAGTTTCAAGAGGCTTTCGATCAGAAGTTGCTTCCGAGCCTCTTCACTACAGGGATCATTCATTTGGTTCCTAAAGATCAGGATACCACAGACGCGAGCAAATACCGCCCCATCACGTGTCTACCCACTATATATAAGACACTGACATCCATTTTGAGCGCGAGAATCATTCGTCACCTGGAGCTAAATCAGGTGATGTCACGCGCTCAAATTGGATGTCGGGGTGGTGGTCGTGGAACCAAGGAACCACTCCTCATTGACGCGGTCATTGGCAAAGTGGTGAAACGCAAAGAATTTCTCCGCCGCCTGGATAGACTACAGAAAGGCATTCGACTCGGTGCCCCATACATGGCTAAAGAGAGTCCTCCAGCTGTACAAAATTGACTGTACAGTTGGAGACTTCCTCGAGCAGTGTATGGGGCAATGGAGTACAATCCTTTGCTATCTGGGCGAGCGGATGATAGATAGATGCTGCGGAGAACCACTATAAGGATAAGAAGGGGTATCTTCCAGGGCGATTGTCTGAGTCCAATCTGGTTTTGCCTCTCTCTGAACCCTCTCATACCTTATTGGAGGGCTCCAAGAGGGGATTTCAGCTTCGAAAAGTAGGTGCAAAAGTGACCCACCTTTTCTATATGGATGACCTCAAGTTATTCGCCTCCAGTCGCTCCCATCTTATGCCTATTCATACTCCTAGACAGAAAATGAATTGTACCACCTAGAATATTATATTTATACAAAGCAATTAACACTATCTGGAAATAGTTTTGTTTCTTTTCAAGCCACCATCTTTTAAATACGCGGCTAACATGATCTGGATCTATTCGATAATACTGAAATGATATTAATATTTTATGTTAGTTTGGGACTTATATGTCCAATTTTTTATGTTGGATTAACTGTGTTTCTAGTAATAGGCGACTAATAGGACATTAGGTTTTTGATTGTGTAAGTGATAGCCCGGCCACCTATTGATACATATCTTATTGTGAGTATTCGATATTATATTTTTTTCAATTTGAAGTAACTAACGAACTTACAATCCACCAGATGGCAAGTGGTTACTGTAGTCCACTGAAACATAGAACAAAATTAAAACTAAAGACTACAAATGCGTAGTTCATTATAGAATAAGGTTTATATTCGAGCATACAGTCTACCTTACGATAAGTGGAATGGAGCAGCGCATAGAAATCTACATTTACCCTCAATTAAGAAGCAAAATGCAGATCCGTTGTCATTACTGAGGACTAAGGTAGAATACCACGGCGATTTTAACGCCCATCACGCCGAATGGCTTGATTCACGTTTAACCGATCATGCGGGGATATCTATTCATGATTTTGGCTTGGCATATGGTCTGACACAATTGGTTACTTTGCCTACGCGAATTCCAGATGTGGAGGATCATGCA